CAAGTAGTCTTGCTAAAGGAACCGACAAGGGTTCTCATAAAGGGCTTTGCGAGGTTGCAGAAAGTGCTTATGATTTTGATACGACCAATATTCACAAATGGAACAAAGCCCTTTAACAACCAAGCACATTTAAAACAAAAAGCAACCCCATCAAAAACGAGATGCAACAACACGATTCAACGCTATATAACAAAACCCTAACCCTGCAAAACAACTCAATTAAATCACCTATTACAAAAAACTACCAAAAAGACACAAAACAACAACAAAAACAAACACAAAAAAAACAACAAAAATCAAGCCCGGTAGCTCCATCTGCCCGCGAGATCGAAGCCGGCGACAAGTACCGGCGGCTGCTCCGGGCGGCCGGCCTCCGGGCTCGGAAAAATGACTTTGAAGGGGCCTACCTGTGAAGCCCAAACCCTCAGGGTTTAGGCTTTAGGGTTTAGGGGTTTAGGGGTTTAGGGTTTAGGGTTTAGAGTTTAGGGTTTAGGGTTTTAGGGTTTAGGGTTTAGGGTTTACCTGTGCATCCAAAACCCTACCGTTCTAAGGGTTGTAGACCCTATGATTAAGGGGTCATCACCTACTATTTTGTAGGGTTTGGGGTTGAAGGGCCTAGGTTTTTTTGTTTTACGGGCCTTTTTCTGGGTTTAGGGCTCAGGGCTTTAAGGTGTAGGGTTCAGGGCTTGTGGGTATATAGGGTTTAGGGCTGGGTTTGTTAAAGGCTCTTTCTCCGGGGTCCTGTACGGGTTCCTCTAATAGGGATCGCTCTAGAAAGCTTTTAGATGGGTTTCGGATTTAGGGATCGCGGCTTACCGAATCTAAGGCATCTAAGGATAGGGTGTGCAGGATGTAGGGACTTGATAACGTTGCTTCCCACAAAACACAGGACTACGCTTCTGTGGTTGTGAGGGTCACTCGATTACGGTCTCCCACAGCCCCACAGCGCCGCTTCTTTACAGACCTAGTACCCTAGAGAAGACAAGAAGATCCCACCCCCTATAGCCCCAATATAAGGGCCTTAATAATTAGAATGGGGTTTGGGGTATATTATGCTATTAATTATAATAAGGAACCCCCAAAACCCTAGTCTAATTATTAAGGCCCCTAAACCCTAAACCCTAAGGCTCGTACATCCAGCGGTGCGCCAGCCTTCGCCTGGCCGCCCCAATGACGCAACTTCAGGTGCTTGGCGAAGCCTCCCGAGCTTGGGGTTCACCCTAATGAAAGCAAACCCTATAAAAGGGACCCCCGAGTGGAATTACCCACATGTATTCCTGCGGTGCTGTTTGGTTTGGGGGTTCAGGGTTCGGCGCTCAGCCCTGAACCTTAAACCCTAACTTCTGAACCCCCTTAAAAGTTTCAAAGGTCCAAAGTTCAGGGTTATCAGACTAAAGAGTTTCGGGTGGGTTTCTTTTTGCAGCAGTTCGAGTTTGGGGGCCCTGAGCTCTGAAAGTGCGAGGGCCAAGGTACTCAAGTTGCTTGCGCTGGGCTCCGGGCTTTGCAGGAAGAGCTTTGCTTCTGAGTTAGGGTTGAGGGTTTAGGGTT